AAACAATTGAATGTGAGTCCAAGTTGGATTATCCCTATCTCTAGTTCAAATCTTTTAATCAAACTAATCAAAACTTTAAGTAGCTCAATTTCTTTTTAGTCGAGTTTTCCTAGACTAAATCTGCCATTCTCAAGTAAGAATTAAGTCAAATAGGCATGAATCAATATTTGAAATCATTAATTCTAAGTATAAAGCATAAACAATGCTAAATAATATCCACCCAATCAATAGCAAGCACTAATATTAAACACCCATAAACTTTATACACTAAGGTTGGATCACAACCTTAGATAAACTCTAGCTACTCATGGTAATTGACATAGAAAAATAAAAAGAAGAAGTAATTAAAGACATAAAACTAGAATTAAAGTAAAAATTGACAGATCTTCTCTAATTGCAGTCACAAGTTGACCAAAATAGCTAAAGGTAACCGCTAGTTGCTGCTACAGTACAAAAATTGCCCTTAAAAATATTTCTGGTCTATTTATAGTGCTCTAATATTTTCGACAAAATACCCTTCGGAGGGTTCTGAGGCCGTATAATTACGTCTGTTGTCTGCACATTGGTAGGTTTCATTGCAAGTGCTTTCAGTAGAGGGAATTCTGCTGCCGCGCATAAGCTTCTGCGGCCACACTATTTTGCTGCGGACCGCACTTTGAGGGGGCTTCAAAAGTTTTCTATTGCATCTTCGCTGATCCCGTAGTTTTGACAGTGCGGACTTCAAGTGCGATCACACTTTTTGGTTTGCGGACCACACTCCTGCCAAAACCCTCTGAAGCTTTAGAACTTCTTCTGCGGCCGCATGTCATTATCTACGTGCATTATTTGTTTTTGCGGCCGCAGGTGAAATTCTGCGGACCGTACTTTTCATTGCACTTCTCCTCTTGACTGATTTGAGCTAAAACATCTCCTCTTTGAGTTAGATTTTTTTGTTGAGCTCACATTCTCCAGCACACATGCAATTCACCCATATTCATTAGATTCGGGGACAAAATTCTTCACTTTCGAACTAAAACTAAAGCAAGAAGGCACTACTAGGTGGTTAGAATCCATTCTTATCACCTGTATAACCCCACCCAATATGTCCACATGTACCACAATCACAACAATGCAAAATAACAAATCATCATCAGGAGGCATGCCCTCATAACTCATAAATAAAGTGCATAATGACATGGTAACAACAAAAGTGCGGATGGCATTGAACATATAAAATCTAACTACGGAAAAATTAGATATAGCCACCAAGTTCAAGTAGTCATGCAAAGGATCACATAGGTGTCACAGAGTGCACGCGTCCCAATCAATGCACAACTCAAGAATAGATATATATGTGTGTTAATAACATATGCGTATTCAACCCCGAGGCATTCTTAGCATAAATCTCAAGATTTTCTCATGATGTTTAACATAAGATACCAATAGCCTCAATATTTTTCTAGCATGGTTTATTATGCTCAAGTAATCGATTAATTGAATAATACATAGAATCAAGTAAAACATACAACTAAACAAGGCATAAAACAAGCTAGAATTTGCCCCGAGAATGAATACCCACGACCCATATATATATATATGTGCTCGCCACCTCATATATATATCACCCCCGCATGTATCAAACAATATCAATTAGTAGACAAAAATTTCTCAACCCAAGTTAGACAAGACACTTACTTCAAACAAGCCAAATCAATACCCTAAAAAATCCTTTCGGCACGAATCTACCTCAGAATGACTCAAATCTAGTCAAAAGAAACTCAATAATATCAAATAATGCCCTAGGAATCAAACCCAAATGATAAAGGTCAAATATTTAATCAAATACTTAAAGTCAACCCCTATATCCCGAAAACCGACAAAACTCACAAATCCTCAATACTCATTCGAATACAAATCCAAATATATAATTGGTTTCCAAATCCAACCTCAATTTCATGTTCAAAACCCTAAAATTCATTCTCTTAATTTGAAGACAAAAACCCTCAATTTCTCTTTTAGATTCACCACTCAAATGCCAAAATCAAAGATGGAATCATGAAAAATAATCAAATCCGAGTCAAGAACACTTACCCCAATCTAAGTCATGAAATCGCCTCATTCCGAGCTCTCAATCTCAAAATCTGATCAAATCCGAGTCAAGAACACTTACCCCAATCTAAATCGTGAAAATCGCCTCAATCCGAGCTCTCAATCTCAAAATGTGACAAAATGAGCAAAAACCCTCGAACATAATAACGTATAGATCTGCTCCAGGAGTACCCTTCGCGATCACGTCCAATAGCCCCGCGATCGCAAAGCACAAAATCACCGTTGCCCTTAGAACCAACTATGCTATCGCGCCAGACCAAGCGCAATCACGGAAAACAATCAGCTTCAACCTCGCGAACGCAGACCATCGACGCAAACGCAAGAGCCAAAAGAACCATTGTTCAACTCAGACCTGACACGAACGCACTACAACCACGCGAATGCGAAAACCTTCAGGCACTGACCCTTCGCCAACGCGATTCACAAAGCCACAACTCCAAACATACACTACGTGATCACGACAACACCTTCGCGATAATGAAGAACATCTGAGCCATCAAAAATCAGCAACTCCAAATATCACAAAAATGGTCTGAAACCACCTCAAATCACACTCGAGGCCCCCGAGACCCCGTTCAGTCATACCAACATGTCCAAATACAATACAGGGACCTACTCGAGGTCTCAAATCACACAAAACAACAACAAAACTACAAATTACACTTCAATTCAACCTTAATGAACTAATCAAACTTTCAACTTTCAAAACTCATGGTGAGCCACGTCCAACCAACTCGGAGTCGCCTCAAATTTTGCACACAAGTTTTAAATGATATAAAGAACCTATTCCAACTCCTAGAACAACAATCTAAACCCGAAAATATCGAAGTCAACTCCCGGTCAAACTTATGAACTTTCCAAACATTCAAATTTTTAACTTTCGCCAAATAGAGCTAAAACCTTCTAGAAACATCCAAATACGAATCCAAACATACGTCGAAGTCCAAAATCGTTATACGAACCTATAGGAACTACCAAAACATAAATTCGAGACCATTTATACAAAAGTCAAAGCTTGATCACTCTTCAACTTTAAGCCTCCAAAAATAAAAATTTCTCTTCCAAATCAATCATGAACCTCTAGAACATCGAAACCAACCATATACGCAAGTCGTAATACATTATATGAAGCTACTCAAAACCTCAAACCACCGAACGGAAGGCCAATGCTCAAAACGACTGGTCGGATCGTTACAACCTGGATACCAGTATTTTATTTTATGTGATACACTTACTTTTTATCGGTTCAGAATTGATAATTTAAAATGCAAACTTTCTATTTTACTATTAATGAGATAATTTATAATCGCACAAATATTTATTACTTGTTATAAACCGCAAGCCTCAAAATTCTTTATTTATATTTTTCTTTTCTAATTTAAACTCTGTGTCTAGTGCAAACATTACCTCAAAACATAGGACGGAGGGAGTATAACATTGTATTTTTAATATTAAGCCTTTGTCACTATTATTTCTATTATTTTCCTAGCTTTTTGTCATCCTACTTCCGAAGAAAATTATAATTTGTCATCGTACATTCAATAAATTTCTCATGATCTAATTCACCTTTCCTAAGGATGAATGCAGTGATATATACCTTGTGGTCCAATTTTCCCATAAATTTTGACCTAAGGAATCGCTTGGCATTATATAGTTCTCTCTTTTTTTTTAATCTCTTCCTAGATTGTGATTCGAACCCACAACCTCAAGGTTGGTGGTAAACGATGCTCTCAATTTGAATAATCCTCACTTGTCTCTAATTCTCTGATATACCTTAAAAAAACAAAAAAACAAAAAAAAGCTACTAGATAGTAAAGAGCCAAAAAGTATTACCTTCTAGTTTTAAAAATAATAATAATAAAATTACTAGTAGTAGTTTCAAAACTGATCCAAATTGTTTGATGTGTAAGTACTTTTTGTCGTCAATTTTAGCATTAAGTATATATCCTCTAGATTTGGAAAGTTAATGACCTTTGCTTTCACAATATGATAAGTATATTTTATCAAAATTGAAAATGATATAAATCTAGCTTGGACCCTCCACATTAATTTTATTCTTTTTTTAATTAAGAAAATAACAAAAAACGGAACTAGCCTGGCCCTTGAACATAGCTTCTCTTGTCCGTATATCTTGAGGGCTGTATTAATAATGCCGACAAAAAACTAGTGAAAAGTGGCCACCATGAGTAACAGTGTCTTAATCGCCAAATTAAATTAAATTACTTGACTGTGATCTAACTTTTCTTTCCCTCGTCTTTACTATATTCGAAAGCCAATATTCTCTTTTTATCAAAAAGAAACTAGAGACTCGGCAAACTTGTAGAACCCTAATGATACGTAATACACCTACATAATTTTGTAGGTATGGTCCTTATTAAGATTATAAGAACTCTGTATTTTATTTTCCTTTCCGATAGTTCGTTAATAGTTAGTTAGAGGCTGCACTGTTCATTCTGTTAGTTAGTTAATGACTTCCGATAGTTAGTTATAGCTGTTAGTTAGAGATCGGTTAGTTCATTGGTTAGAGATTGATTAGCTGTTGCTTAGCTGTCATTAGCTACTCTGATTGTATATATTCCAGCTTATGCATAATTGAAAAGTGATTCTCTTTTCACTCATTTGAGAATTCCATTTCTGCCTTAGCTTCGTTCCTTTGGAAGCCTCTAACGGCTTCCGCCATTGTAGGCTGTGAAGCTCTCTGAGCTCATGCTTCTTCAAGCTTAATATGGTATCAGAGCCTTGCTCTTTTGACAAGACGATCCACTGAAACATAGATCGCAGTCCATTGATCTCTTCACATTCAAAGTTAGGGGTCACATTTCAACTCATTCGATCGAGGATCTCTGTATCCTTATTTTCTCAGTCAATCAACTTTTCTTATTATTCTATCCTGATCTCGAGCTAAAGCAAACATGGCGATAGGTGATGCAGACACTACGAATGCGACAACAGCAGAAATTCAATCGACGATCGATGTGAGTAGTCCACGTTACATTCATCCTTCTGATAGCCCTAGGCTAGTTTTGGTTCCAGTCCCTTTCGATGGACTAGGATATCGTTCATGGAGGAGAGGTGTATTGAGATCTCTCTCTGTTAAAAACAAATTAGGCTTCATCACTGGATAATGTGTGAAAGCCAATTCGAATTCATCGAGTTTTAGCCAATGGGAGAGGTGTGATGACATGGTAACCTCGTGGATTTTGAATTCACTTGCAAAAGAAATTGCAGATAGTATGGAGTATGTGAACACTTCAGTTGAGCTATGGAGTGAACTTGAAGATCGTTATGACCAAACAAACAGAGCAAAGTTATACCAGATCCAAAAGGAGATTAATGACTTGAGCCAAGGAGTGCTCGACATCACTGGATACTACACTAAAATGAAGAAGTTGTGGGAAGAATTGACCAATCTGAGTGCTAAATCGGTATGTAACTATCAGTGCACTTGTGGTGCAAAAGAGAACATGCACAAAATTGAGCAAGACAGGAGATTGATACAATTCCTAATGGACTTGAATGAGGTCTACACTGTAGTTCGAGGGAGCATTCTAATGATGAATCCCTTGCCTTCAATGGCACAGGCTTTTGCTCTTCTAGTACAAGAGGAAAAACAAAGAGAGTTTCGACCAAGGAATCGGTTGAATTTTGAGACTAGTGCAATGAATACCAGCATTACAGCTCCAAGATCATTCAGAACAAATTTCTCAGTGAACAACAGACCTAGGCCCTATTGTGACTTCTGCAAGAAACAAGGTCATACCAAGGAAAAGTGCTTCAAACTTCATGGATATCCATAGCAATTTAATCGACAAGGAGCTCAAAGTTACAACTCAAACAACTATAATCAGTATCCCAGGAACAATAGAGGAAGGAACATTACAGCAAATGTTGTGGCTGGTGCACATGCTATGCCATCTGATACAATGTCAAACCAAGGAGAAGATCTAGAGAATCAAGGAGGAAACAACAACCAGAATGTAAACCTCTCAAAGGAGCAATATGATCAAGTGGTGAGACTCCTGCAGCACTTTCACAGTGATGGAACAGGGGACAGTTCAAACATAAATCCAGCCAATGCAACAGTGAATTTTGCAGGAAATTTTGCAGGTATTGTGACTTGTACTTCTTCTATAGATTTTGACAAACTGTCATAAAATGTTTTCAAGCAAAGGCTGACTTATGGATTCTGGACTCAGGAGCCTCACACCACACGACCTTCAACAAAACACACTTACAGAACATAGTTTCTTTACCCTATCCTTTACTTGTGAAACTTCCAAATGGCTACAAAGTCAAGGTCACAGAAATAGGAACTGTGACTCTTACACCCAAAATAATCCTATATAAAGTTCTGTTTGTCCCAACCTTCAAATACAATCTCATTTCTATTAGCTCTTTGACAGCACATCTCAAGTGTCTAGCCTTCTTTTCTAACACATGTTGTTTACAGCAAGCCCCTTCTCTGAAAAGGCCTCTGGAGATTGGTAAGGTCCATGATGGATTGTACCTTCTCTGCTCAGACTGTCTGAATAAAGGAAATCCTACAGCAGTAAAGAAGGATGCAGACCATGCTACTACAACACCTTGTTTTTCTCATTCCTGTCAAACTAGTCCATCTGTAAATACTCAATGTGTTTCTTTTCCCTTTCATCCCAGTTCTACTGTGAATACTGTGTCTCTACTTCCTATTGTAAATAATTCTCATTGCAATAAAACATACTGGGGCTGTAATTCTGAATCCTTTTCAAATGATGTGAATGATATAAACATGTTATGGCACTATAGACTTGGTCATGTACCTTTTGCAAAGATGAAAATGATATCGAATATACCAGCAGATTTTGCACCAAGACAATCCTTCCTTTGTTCTATATGCCCTATGGCCAGGCAAGCTAGACTTACTTTTCCTCCAAATATTACAAACAGCACAGCCATATTCGACCTCCTACACATAGATTTGTGGGGACCTTATCATGTGCCCACTCATGACAACTTCAAGTACTTTCTCACCATAGTAGATGACTTTAGTAGATCCACTTGGACTCATCTATTCAGTTGCAAAAGTAATGCACTACACACCCTCAGGAATTTCATATCCATGGTTGAGACACAATTTACCACCAAAATAAAATGTATCAGATCAGACAATGGCTTGGAATTCACTAGCAATGAAGCCACTTCATTCTTGCAATCAAAAGGTATTGAACACCAAAGAACCTGCCCCTATAAACCCCAACAAAATGGCATAGTAGAGAGAAAACACAAATACTTAACCAAACTTCCATTGAGATACTGAGGAGAGTGTGTACTTAAAGCAACTTTTCTCATCAATCGATTACCTACTGTACCCTTGAAAAACAAGTGCCCTTTTGAGCTGCTGTATGGAAAGAAACCAAACTACTCACACTTAAGGAGTTTTGGTTGCCTATGTTATCCAACTGTCCCTAAACCTCACAGAGATAAATTTGAACCAAGAACTTGTCCACATGTTTTTATAGGATATCCTTTTGGTGTAAATGGGTACAAGGTACTGAACTTAACTACTAAGAAAATCTGTGTGTCCAGAGATGTGATTTTTCATGAATCAATCTTCCCCTTCTCACTCCCACCTGTACCAATTCCTCTTTCTCTTTCCTAATTCTGTCACACATCAAGATCACTCTACTGACTGTAGTTCTTATACAGTCCACAACCCTGTAACTTCTCAGACAGATAACTCTACTGCACCATCACCTAGTAGCACCACACACACAACTATCTCAATGTCACCTAATCATACTATACATTCACCTCCTACACTTAATACCACATCACCAAACTTAATCCATTCAATCACCTCTAGGGTAGACCAACCCTCATCTTCTGTTATGAGGCCAATTCAAAGGGTTTCCAGTAGAGTATCTAAGACCCCATCTTATTTGTCTGAATATGTTTGTAATATGCCTAACCTAAAACAATCTCAGAATGCTGATGCCACTCAGATCAACCCTTCCTTTTCCATCAATGCTCTCTTTACCCAACACAACCATATTGCTCCTAATGTCCTTAATGCTGATAGTCAGCAGGTTGTAAAAAGCATCTGTAATGACAGGGAGCCCTTGTCTTATGAAGAAGAAGCAGTCAATCATGCCTGGCAGCATGCCATGATTCAGGAATTTGAAGCACTTCATGCAAACAACACTTGGACTTTAGTCCCTTTACCTGCTGGGAAACAGCCATAGGCTGTAAGTGGGTCTTCAAGGTAAAGCATAAAGCAGATGGGAGTGTGTAAAGGTATAAAGCCAGATTAGTTGTAAAAGGCTATACACAAAAAACTGGCATAGATTACACAGAAACTTTTTCTCCAGTAGTAAAGATGACCGCTGTTAGAGCTTTAATTGCTACTGCAGCTAAGAAAAACTGGGAGCTATTTCAATTAGATGTGAACAATGCTTTTCTCCATGGAGATTTGCATGAAGAGCTATACATGAAGCTTCCCCAAGGGCTTGAAGTTTCTTCTCCAGAACTGGTTTGCAAATTGAACAAATCCCTCTATGGTCTCAAGCAAGCTAGTAGACAATGGTATTCTAAACTGAAGCTTTGTATTCCAGGGGCTACATTCATTCTATGCACGATTATTCTCTTTTTTATAAGAGAACATCTGATCGTGTGGTATTTGTGGGAGTTTATGTAGATGATGTTCTACTACTGGAAATGATCTCACTGAAATTCAAATGCTGAAAACCTTCCTACATGACCAATTCAAGATCAAAGACTTGGGAAAATTACACTACTTCTTGGGACTTGAGGTGCTCTACAGAAATGGTGGAATCTTGATCTCACAAAGGAAGTTTACTCTTGATCTCCTCAAAGAATATGACTGTCTCCATGCTACCAGTTTGTCTTCTCCACATGACCCCACAACAAAGTTAAAAGCTAAGGAAGGAGTACCTCTATCTGATCCTACTTTCTACAGGCAGCTAGTTGGGAAGTTAAACTTCCTCACCAACTCTAGGATGGACATAGCTTATGGGGTGCAGCATCTGAGCCAATATATGCAAGACCCTAGAGAACCTCATCTTCAGGCAGCATACCATATGCTCAAATACCTACTCAAGGATCCCACCTTGGGTCTCTTCATGTCCAGTGATAATGATTTCTCAGTAAAAGCCTACTGTGATTCTTATTGGGCTGCATGCCCTAACTCCAGGAAGTCAGTGTCAGGATACCTTGTTCTTTTGGGCAACAGTCCTATCAGTTAGAAATCTAAGAAGCAGGAAACCATCTCCCTTTCTTTAGCAGAAGCAGAGTACAGATCCATTCGAAAGGTCGTTGGTGAACTTGTTTGGCTGCATCGTGTGCTCACAGAATTGACTATCCCTCCTGTTATACCTATCCCTATATTTTGTGACAGTTAATATGCTCTCCACATTGCTAGGAATCTAGTATTTCACGAACGTACTAAACACATTGAAGTTGATTACCACTTCGTCATGACAAAGCTCACAGAAGGCCTCATCCAACTTCACCATATTAGAACTGGTGCTCAACTCGCTGACATTCTCACCAAATCCCTCACTGGGATCAAGCATTCCACTGTCTTGGGCAAGTTGGCGGTGTGTTCTCCACCTCCAACTTGAGGGGGGGGGGGGTATTAAGATTATAAGAACTCTGTATTTTATTTTCCTTTCCGATAGTTCGTTAACAGTTAGTTAGAGGTTGCACTGTTCATTCCGTTAGTTAGTTAATGACTTCCGATAGTTAGTTATAGCTGTTAGTTAGAGGTCGGTTAGTTTATTGGTTAGAGATTGATTAGTTGTTGCTTAGCTGTCATTAGCTAATCTGATTGTATATATTCCAGCTTATGCATAATTGAAAAGTGATTCTCTTTTCACTCATTTGAGAATTCCATTTTTGCCTTAGCTTCGTTCCTTTGGTAGCTTCTAACTGCTTCCGCCAAGCTCTCTGAGCTCAGGCTTCTTCAAGCTTAACAGTCCTTATCAAGTTGTGATGATAATAATCATTCCTATACTTTTTCACGTAAAAGGAAAAAGAAGAAAAGGCATTAACCAAAATCATTTAACCAAAACAAAAAGTCACTTAGCGATGACCTTAATCAATCATTTTAGACTAATTGTATTAACTATACCCCGCTAACAATGAATTAGAATGTTTCACTTGTAATCATTAATTGCTTTTTGATAGTAATCGTGATCAATAACCATCACTTTTCGGCTTGTTGACATGTGTAAGCTTCAAGCCCGATTTCTTAGATAAGACAAACCTCTTACAGATACGGAGTTAGAACTTGTTCAATAGGTTTAACTGCTCGATCCACAAGTATAATTGCAGGCCGGTTTTTAGTTAAACATATATTTATAGGTTAAACAACTCATTCTAATCTCAACAACTATAAATTGTAGATTCGCCTTTGCCTTCTTGTGCATACCATTTGTTGCTCCCAAACACGCAAGCAAGTATACGCGGTCGTCAAGTAATAAAGTGACTAAAAGTCGGATGTCGAACCAACGAGGATTTGTGATTAACTATTAATTAAATTAGACTATCCTAATTATCTATACAAGAATTAAAACTAGAAGTATTTGATTCTAAACTAATTAAAATAAAAAAATATAAATAATAAACTTTGAACAGAGGAAGAGCAGATTTTTATGATATCAATGTAATGAAAACGATCTAGGATTATGGGCTATCTAACATTCCTATTGTATTCTTCAATTGAATTGACTAACTAATTTATCTAGTTTATTGGTTGACAGGGTTAATATTGCTCATAAGAATCTTTCGAGTTCTTACTAGCATATTCAAGCTAACCTAACTCCTATATGTCTATGGTTAGAATCAACAAGAACGCATTTATAATTCCTGTAAATCAACCAAGCAAGGCAATTTGGTATATGTCTATCCTAACCGCGAATCCGTTCCCCGATGCCCAGGTTCAAGAACTTGCTCTATTCAATCCTAAATGCAATCTAGAATTCCCACTTTCGAGTTCAACTCTAGATTCGTAGATAGTATGCAATTGGTGATCAAGCAATCAAATAATTAAATGCAGGATTGAATAAATAAACCAATATGATAAACTAAGAAATCAAAATAAATATCCGAATAACAATAGTCATGAAAGAACCACAACCCTAGAACGTGAAGTTTAGCTCCACATAGACATGGTAGCAAAACAACAAATCATACAAAGAAACATAAAAATTACTAAGTTTGGTGGAAGAAAAGATGAAACCCGCACTACTAAAAATCCGGAAAAAAGCGACCAAAATTGGTCTGTCAGGAAGTTGGTCGCTAAATTGGAGAAAATAATTAAATAATTATTTTAAATACATTAGCGACCAAGGTTGGTTGCTAATTTGGTCAAAATGTTGACCGGACTGGTCAGACTTGCTTGGTCAAAGAAATGCTGAAATTAGCGACCAACTTTGGTCGCTAAAGTGGGACCCACTTATAAAATTTTAATAATTATATTATTATTTAAAAAAATTATAAAATATAAATAAATATAATTCAAAATTAGCGACCAAAGTTGGTCGCTCACGAAAGGGGAAGCAGATAGAGACCAACTTTAGTCGCTAATCTGGGACCCAGTTATAAAAATTTCATAATTATATTATTATTTAAAAAAAATTATAAAATATAAATAAATATAATTCAAAGTTAGCGACCAAAGTTGGTCGCTTACTAAAGGGGAAGCAGATAGAGACCAACTTTGGTCGCTAATCTGGGACCCAGTTCTAACGTTTAACAATTATATTATTAATTTAAATATTATATAAAATATAAATAAATCTATTTAAATTTAGCGACCAACGTTGGTCGCTAAATTTAATTTTCTGGATATTTAGCGACCAACTTTGGTCGCTAATTTGAATTTCTGGATAATTAGCGACCAAAGTTGGTCTCTTTTCAGGTCAACATTGGTCAAAATTAAAAATCACTTTTATATTTACTATCTAATTAATATAAATGTAATATGTTAACACTTTTGTAATACAAGGGATGAATTGTCACGACCCGGATTTCCCACCCTCGGGGTTCGTGATGGCGCCTACTCGTAGAAGCTAGACAAGCGACAAATCATAAACTCCTAACTCTTTCATTTTAAATTCCTTTTTACCAATCATATCAACAAGCGTTAAATATTAGAATAACAACGGAAATATGAAATTAAAGCGGATGACTTAACGAAGTAAACCAAAATAACAAGGAAAATCCACATATGTCTCTACCCAGGACTGGTGTCACAACATTCAGGGACTATCTAAGAGTACTACATACAACTGTCTGAAACAAGGAATAAAGTCTGTCTCGGATACAAAAGGAAACAGATCATCAATAAAGATAGAGGAGATGCCGGGCCTGCGGACGCCTGCAGGCGTAACTCGGGAAT